TTCTTGTATTTTCTACACATATTCCTGTCATGATCGTCTCAAGTGCCATTCCAGCTGTTTCCAGTTCGCGCTCACCACATTCACTGCTGCAGTTTTAAAGGAACACACTCCAGACAGTTTCAAAGTTGTCCCTCGTCTGTGCTTCGATTAGTTTTCTCCTATTTTTCACACACGTTCCTGTCTTAAGCACCGCAGTCACGGATTTCGTCGCACACAGAGCCGTTCACGTTTGAACTCACGTGACTTGCTGCATGCTCTCATTCACGTCCTCCACATTCATAACCCAGCAACATCGGGTTATTACTGATATCAACCCAAATTGGGTCACATCAAGCCAGCTTCCTAACCCAACAATCTCAACCGAGCGTTTGGATTGAAACAATTACCAGCGTGTTTTATATGTGTAGGCTATAAAAAAGTACACAGTGTATGTTTTTGCTTAATCGCTTGCAAATATAAGAGGTCATACATACCCCGTAATATTAGAATAGGTACCCCTTAGTTTCAAAATACTTACAGTAGAAATAATTTGTAATTTTACAGATTATTACTCCTTTATTCTCCAAACTTCGCATATTGTTACCTTATACCTACACGGAGGTACTGAATAGGTACACTGTAATTACAAAAAAGTTACGCTGTAAATTCTGTTTACTTACGCAGTACATTGCGGGTTGTAATCTAAAGCGTTACCATTTTTTCTAATATATACTGTATGTCTGTTCTTATTGCTTTATTTATACTGCTAATTCTGAAGGGCTGCTAAACGGTTTTTCATTGTTTAAAAAATCTAATTCTGGGTAATTTTAACTATCAGCAGACTAAAACAATGATGTAGTATGGAAAGAAATTTAGTAAAATACATCTTCGGAACACTTAGAATAAAGCACACAGGTCATATTGAATACTGTTAGAATACGTCAATGGTGCTTTATATCATATTAGAACAGTCCCAGTCCCCATTATGGAAGAGTTCGGTGATTGAGAAAGACCCTTTATTATATGCTGAAGACTGTAAAACAATTCACCTCATCATCTCTGTAGACAGAAGCTGAATGTGCACCATTACAAGCACATTCACATCTATTCTGTTAAATTATTCCACTGTTTAGTGTGAAAAGTAATGTAGGGTAAGCAATACTGTACCTGATTTTCCTACATGCACATACACATACATAGTTCAGTACATAGAAGTATCTATATGACCCATAAATATATGATCAGGAAAGATTTTCTAGTAATCTTGAAGACATTGGTTAGAGACGTCAGGTGTGTTTCATTGAGTTTGGAGCTAAACTCTGCAGGACAGTGAACCTCCAGCACTGAGATGTCCAACACTTGAGGTTTTTACGACCACTTGAACACTTTGACCAAATACCAGAGATACGTCATGTAAGTAGACTGGGAATCAAACCTCTGATCTTGAGATTGGCAGACAGTTAGTGTTTTTGTCTTCTTTATGTCCAGTTTAAAATGCACTGCAATGGTCAGTCAGGTGTCTGCGCTCCTAATAAATCAGTAAAAGTTTACTTGACTCTACAAATATTGGACAATCCAGGATTTCAAGTGCACTCTGATCACCTGCTCCAGGATTGAAGAGAGGAACGACTGGTCCAGAGAATCTGCTGCTGATGGTCAGGAGATGTTTTCTCTCTGTGATGTTGTAAAATGACAGCTGACCGTCATCATAATCGAACAGGACTCCCAGTCGCTCAGGTCTCGGAGTCAGAGAGAGTTTAACTGGTGGATCAGTGCTGGTGTAAAAGCCATGAGGACCGTCTGAACACAAGAACCAGTAACCAGCTGATGGAGTTAAAGCAGATCTGTCTCTTGAAGCAAAACTTCCTTCTTTCACCTCTTTCACCACACCAATTAACCAGTAGCTTTTGGGAGGTGTATTTTCTCGTGCCCAAATCCACCTCCCAATAGTGACGACCAGAGGTGAATCTTTGAGCTCCAAATGCACATAATTGATATGGAAATCCCTCATCAGTGTAATTATGTTCTGGACTGTCCCTCAAGATTTTACAGTCCTCAGAAAGCTTCAGATCTGGATGTGAACGCTCACGGTCAATAGTGATCTCAACTGTGAGGAAAAAATACATCAGCAACAGCTATTAATCCTCATGTATATGAGATTTTATTTACACATATATGATTAAATATATTCATATATAACCTGCATGTTTCCTCAGTTCTTCTACAGGTGCATCTCAATAAATTAGAATGTCATGGAAAAGTTCATTTATTTCAGTAATTCAACTCAAATTGTGAAACTCGTGTATTAAATAAATTCAATGCACACAGACTGAAGTAGTTTAAGTCTTTGGTTCTTTTAATTCTGATGATTTTGGCTCACGTTTAACAAAAACCCACCAATTCACTATCTCAACAAATTAGAATACTTCATAAGACCAATAAAAAAAACATTTTTAGTGAATTGTTGGCCTTCTGGAAAGTATGTTCATTTACTGTACATGTACTCAATACTTGGTAGGGGCTCCTTTTGCTTTAATTACTGCCTCAATTCGGCGTGGCATGGAGGTGATCAGTTTGTGGCACTGCTGAGGTGGTATGGAAGCCCAGGTTTCTTTGACAGTGGCCTTCAGCTCATCTGCATTTTTTGGTCTGTTTTGAGTTGATTAGCTGATTGGCATGTCACCATATTCTAATTTGTTGAGATAGTGAATTGGTGGGTTTTTGTTAAATGTGAGCCAAAATCATCACAATTAAAAGAACCAAAGACTTAAACTACTTCAGTCTGTGTGCATTTAATTTATTTAATACACGAGTTTCACAATTTGAGTTGAATTACTGAAATAAATGAACTTTTCCACGACATTCTAATTTATTGAGATGCACCTGTATATTTACATCTCCCACAACTACAATAAAAAAATATATAATTTGTGAGTAAACTACGGTTATAATCGAGAACAAATACAGTATCACTATACAACAGAAATGATTCTTTAGCTGTATCAGAAAGTCTTCTCAGAAACGGGCATTTTCTCCCAGTATGTCTGAAAGGCTTCATCAGATTCATAAATAAGTTCATGTTACTTACTTGCTCTGGGTGGTTTCTTCCCTGCAGAGCAGATCAAAAATATCAACACATGAGATGCATGAAACAAAAACCTCCTGAAAACTACATCTTTAAGATCGTTCAAGCAGATTGTACCTGTTAGATTGTCTCTGTATTTGTAGAGGCACCCACCCAAACTCAGAATCAAAATGAGAACAATGAGAACGGTGAAGAAAAGAGCCTTCCATGGACCTGATGAATCAGATGGATCTGAGACAGAACTCCACTCTGGAAAAAAAATTATAATTTAATCAAATATATAGCAAAACAGAGAAATTATAATAAATAAGTTTACAAAAGAAAACAACAACAACAGTGCACATCAGCATGAAAAGGCATGTTCATGTATGAACATCATGACTTACACAAGACCTGAGAACATACTGAACGCATCATATGGACCCATTATTGAATCTGATAAACACCGGTGGAAAGAAAGTCACATGCGTTTGGAGCAACATGATGGAGAGTCATTTTTTAAAAACGTTGTGCTTCACACAATATCCACCTGATGGTGCAAGGAACAAAATTCTGCAGTTAAACACCCAGACAAGATCTACGATGGCGTTTTAGTGCCACGTAACAAAAAAAAAAGTAAAAAAATGTATAAACAAATAAATAAAGTAATAAGACAGAGAGAGTATTCGTGCTTGTCTGATGACCATATGCTCATAAACACCACTGACCATCCATACTCCTATAAAACACTTGCCAGATTTGGAACTACGGATGTGGCCATTAAGAATGTGTGTTTTTTTCTCGTGGCTGCACGCAAATTGTCATGCATGATCACGGAGCTCCTTGCAGGTGCTTTTTCAGATTTTTTAAAAACGTTGTGCTTCACACAATATCCACCTGATGGTGCAAGGAACAAAATTCTGCAGTTAAACACCCAGACAAGATCTACGATGGCGTTTTAGTGCCACGTAACAAAAAAAAAAGTAAAAAAATGTATAAACAAATAAATAAAGTAATAAGATTGCAAGATTAAAGTCATAATATTTTGAGAATAAAATTAAAATTACAAGAATAAAGTCATAATATTTTGTGAATAAACGCATAGCATTTTGTATGATGGCGTTTTAGTGATACGTAAAAAAATGTTTTTTAAATCTAGGATTACGAGATTAAAGTAATGTTTTGAGGAAACAAATGGAAGAAAGTTGTAGCAATACTAGAATAAAGTCGAAATATTTTGAGAATAAAGTCAGAATTACTAGAATTAAATCGTAGCAATTAAAGTTATAATATTTTTCGAGTATTTCGCATGCAAAGAGTCTTATTTCTTAGCAGAAATAATAGCATGTGTAATATACTCACACAGACATGCTTAGAAATAATATTTCATGTCTTCTAATTCTATTCTTTATAAAAAAAATCTTTTTTTTTTTAAATTGCCCCTTTTAGACTTGCACTATTTATTTACTAACTGCTTGTTTTCTTAAAAAAAAAAATGGACACTTGCTTCTCTAACCTTTTTGCATTCTATCTATTTGTTTTCTTTTTATTTATTATACAATTATAATTCTGACTTTCTACCTTCTGACTTCTGATTAACAAAAGCAAAAAAGGCCTCTAACACTAGCTTGATCTATTCTTTTTCTATTCTATCTGTTATCTTTTTATTTATTATATGATTTTAAAAAAGCCCTTGCTATGTGTGCTGCATTAAGCTAACTGAGACGTATAGCTCTTGTGTATCATTGCTCTTTTGTTGATTTTGATTGCTTCTATTGTCCTCATTTGTAAGTCGCTTTGGATAAAAGCATCTGCTAAATGTAAATGTAAATGTCTTCGATTGCATTTATTACTTGTACTGTGCCAGCCCCCCAATAATAGCAATAAACTTTGTGCCTTTGGTACTTTTAATATAAAACAAAGCCTCAGCTTTCAAATTCTGTCAGTTTTATAACGAAATACAAACAATATGGCTTACAATAAAGTTTTTCACATCATGTTTTCATGTCATTGATCATGTTATGATCTGTCCTGTGTTAGAGCCACAGCATGGTCACTCGTGATCTATTCCCTCTGCTTTGCTTATTCAGCCCATACAGACTAGTCCTAACTTTAGCAGTGGCTCTTTAGGGGCGATAGAGAAATTGCCCATTTCAAATAAGATTTGAGGATGCTGATTGGCTAAATGTTATGTCATGTCTTGAATATGTTCACAGCAATTGGCTAAACTGCTAAACCCTCCTCCTGTGAGCAATTTCTCGAGCGCCCCAGAGCTGAACTTGAGACATATATGTAAAGCATATATTTTGCACTGATGATTTTCTGTAATATCATATCATACAAACATCAGAATCAGAATCAGAATCAGAAAGAGCTTTATTGGCAAGTATGTTTGCACATACAAGGAATTTGTTATAGTGTCACAAGCTTCCAGTACACGGAGACAACAACAACACACAGATAATAAAAATGAGATGTGAATAAAATACACATGCATAAATATAAACCACAAAAAATAATAAATTGTATGTACAGGTGTGCTATAGATAGAATAGGAATAGAATAAAATAAAATAAGTTGTAGGGATGTACTAGGGTTTAGGGTAATAAATAAGTATAAGGTTATTGCACATACTTTAATTGCACAATGGGAGAACATTAACTGTTCATGAGGTAGATTGCCTGGGGAAAGAAACTGTTCTTGTGCCTGGCTGTCCTGGTATTTGGTGCTCTGTAACGCCGACCAGATGGCAAAAGTTCAAAAAGGACTGGAGAGCCAAACACTGAGGCTGCCGTCTGCGGCGCCATCGCATCAAACATCATATTATATGATTTATTATTATTATTATTTTGTGTGTGGCTCAGGGAGGGCAGAGCTCTATCGCCCTCTATTGGCCTGACACCACTGATAATGAATTGTAGTTTTTGACTCACCAGTGATTTTGAGATCTACTACTTTGCTGCCATATTCTCTGTCTCCACTCACATTGAGTTTCTCTAGTCGTAGAGAGACGTCTCCATCCTTCAGTCCACCAGACTGATCTGACCGCAGAGCCAAAGAGCTTCGGTTCCTGAAACATTCCTGGATGTCCTGGATCTTCCCATGATTATAGAGCAGAACAGGGTTGTTGAACTGATCGTGACGGTACCAGCGGATCTCCAGAGCTTCAGCGTTCTCAGGAGGAGAGATCCAGCAGGGAAGAATCACTGTGGATCCCACATGAGCCACTACAGGATCACCAGGAACCACTACAATATACGACACTGACAGACAGAGACACACTCAGTGAAATATACAGTGTGTTAGTCTTCAATCTGTATTTATTTAATATCAGTTTAATTTATCATATAAAATGAATATAACATGTAAATTTAAAATTGTTGTTCTGTGAATTTTCACAGTGTTTTACTAGGAATCTATGCATCTGGGAATTTCACATGGAATTTCCCGTTCAGATTGTGAATTCGTGAATTCTTCCACATTGATGAACAGAAAACTGATTGGTTTTAAAGTGAATCCTGTGCTTCATACATCGCTACACTATTGACTATAAAACCTACAACAGACGTTTTTGTTTGCGAAATATCTCGCTTTACTTAACAGTAGGGAGAGTGGGGGACGGTTGCAACACTTCTGCATTTCCTTCAGTTTCTCAGAGACTGTTTGTATTGGAAAGCCAAAATTGAAATACAATAACCCCACATCTGTCAGCTACTCACCTACACTGCTGTAACATGTGTACATATGATAATATACGTACAATTTATACTTGAATAGACAGAGTCAAATGTTGCAACTGACCCCACAACAGGGGATGGTTGCAACATTCATTAAAATGGAATTAAAACCATTCTTAAATATAATTTTGAAATGTCTTTATTTTATTTATGCACAGATAGGGTCTTCAAACTGGCTGTTATTAAGCCTCTCATCAAAAAAACACAACTTGACCCCAAAGAACTAGTTAATTACAGACCGATCTCGAATCTCCCTTTTCTGTCCAAGATACTAGAAAAGGTAGTATCCTCACAATTATATTCCTTCTTAGAGAAAAATGGTATCTGTGAGGATTTCCAGTCAGGATTTAGACCGTATCATAGTACTGAGACTGCTCTCATTAGAGTTACAAAGATCATCAGGAAACACAGTGTTAGCTTTCACTGCTATGCTGATGATACTTAGCTCTATATTTCTTCGCGGCCCGGCGAAACATACCAATTTGAAAAACTAGCGGAATGCATAGTCGATATAAAAAACTGGATGACGAGTAATTCCTTACTGCTAAATTCTGTAAAAAACAGAGGTGTTAATTATAGGACTAAAAACCTCTGCATGTAATAACCTAGAACACTCTCTAAGACTTGATGGCTGCTCTGTCAATTCTTCGTCATCAGTTAGGAACCTAGGTGTGCTATTTGATAGCAATCTTTCCTT